CCTGCTCTCGATCGTGCTACAGAGTGAAGGAAATCCCCTTCGGTACAAGGATACCACAAAGATACATCTGGATAACACAACACTTGGAGAAACTTGAAAAACATTCGTTAACCTCATTGAAATTCTCAATTCTCTTTCTTCAATGGTTTTTGCTTTGAACAGATGTTCATCGTAAACATTTACGTACAGTCAGTGTAATAAATATTCGTACAGGAATCATTTATCTTAAATTGATTGCTGTACGAATACTTTTTACAGTGACTGTATATCCAACCACGTAAATTAAACGTTTTTATTTTAATTGTAACATTTCAATGGACTCGGTATTACATATTAAATAATTTATATTCTGTAAACCTCTCTATTTTCCGAAAAATGCACAAGCTCGAAATGTACATTGTTGCAATAAAACAACGGCAAATGTCAGAGAGGGCTTAGAGAACTAGCGAAAATGCTAGGCGACGCGTAAACATGAAATATTGAAACTATTCCAATCACAACGAATATTGAACTATGTTGACGAGTGCATTTGAACTGTTCTAAAAGAGCTTTGTACTACAATAAAAACCAAAAATGAAATTGAAAAAAAAAAATGCTGCAACCGAAACTCGAACTAGGTTTAATCGAAATCCACCGAAATCCACCATTCACGATACCAAAGTGCTTTTCATACACGTGGATCAACGTTTGTAGTATATACTGCGCCGGTGAAAATTCCAAAGCTAGAACAAGTTTTTTATTTAAAAATGGGGAGAAAAACAGTCGGGCACTTTGTAACTTCACAGTGAAGCTAAATAAAAGGCCAATCCTCGTATCGAGTAACTAGATTTATATAATATTTTCAATATCTCGTATTCGATGGATTCAATTCATGAATTACTTTAGAAATCAAATTTTTATTGTTCTAAAAACATTTCTTTCTTTTGTACTATATATGCACTGTATTTAAAGGATATAATGTTTAGAAAAATATTTTGTACACTTTGTGGGTTCGATCGACGATTTTAAATATTATCGATATTAGAGATAATAGATTGACGGTTGGGAGATCCATGAGTAACTTTGGATGAGTTCATTATTTATTACTAAACTGCGGATCTTTATGCAAAATAAAATCTTCGCGAACGTGCCTACAAAAATTGAACCTAAATACGAATTTATTTTATTCCGCAAATATTATAACGTAAACTTTACTTTCAATCTTTTTTATATTCTTGCATATTGTTTGCATTTTGTAGTTTCTTGGACATTCAAATTTCCTATAAATGCATAAAGATCCACAGTCTATTAATTACATAACGCTTATGTCTTGTGAAAATTTGATGAGAAAAAGGAAGTTTGGACCTTTACCCTAATGAGACGAAGGCTAATTAATTCAACGGAAACGCGGCGAACGAGGTGTTAACAGTTAGACGGCAGTCAGTTGGAATGTTAAGTAAAAGAAACCTGTCTAGGGACCATAATTGGTTAGAGCCGTCGTACAACGAACGAAAGATCTCCCAGTTCTTAATCCATCGATGTGGCCACTTTTGTTCTCGTCTCTGGTTCGTAAAGAACCGCCACTGGGGGCATCAATCATTAAGAAAAAAGAATTTCTCACCCTAAAATGGAGACTTTAATCTATTTTCACGGAAAACACAACGAAACTATGTTTGTCCTCGGTACCAAACATTTAAAAGAACATTATTTCATCAAAATTATTTTCGTACCTAGTAACAGATATTCCTTTTCATTTCGTTTCTGTTCAAATTAATATGACAAACTCTATCAACTAATACCAGCCAAGTAATAAATACATTCGATCACTACTCGATACAAAAAGTTTCATAATTATCGAACAGTATTAAATAAATCCCAAGAATTTTTTTCAAATTTCTCAAATCAAACAATGGATACGAAGTTCCAACTAAAATCCACGAAATCATTCTATCGGAACTAAACGTTAAAAAATATAAATACACTTTCGTAAGAAATGTTTGAAATGCATTTAAAAATATAAGAATCTACCTATATTCTATAGGATCCTTCGTAAATACATCTCTACCGAATGTCGAAAGCCCGGAAAGTTAAAGTTTGGAAACTTGCCTCGGCCAATGAACGTAGGTGGAATATTTACCGATGTACGGTACCGCGACCCCGACCCGTTGAAAGGAGCAAACTTCGCGAACGACCTAATATAATTTCATGGATTTACTTGAATTAGACGCAACGATGACGGAGACATCGACGGAATCGCAGACAGAGGATTGACACGACCCTGACGTTCAATTTGATTTTCTCGTGGCACACGGGCGGACAAACACAGACGCGTTTCAAAACTGATTACACGAGCAGCCTCGACGAGCAGTCGGCTCGGGGGCGGGAGTGAGCCAGGGTACGTTCTAATCTGCATGTAAATCGAGGAAAAATGTTAAGGTTCACGCGTCGTAAGCACGTCGTGGCGAGAAGTACACTCTTCCATGCGGTCTGTCGGCCGACCGTACCGTTTCATTAAAGTACATCACCCACAAAATTTGACTAACAAAACCGTCCCTAACTCGTGTTGCTTTTCACGAGCATCACTAGCTATGTTCAGCGATGTCGTGACGATTCAAGTCTGGATTTAGGGTACTATCGACCTAGTATAGGATACTTATAATGAATAACTGCTGCAAATATTGGTGGTAGGCGCAGCATGGATAATAGAGATAGGGGTGGGAGTAATGCTTCGACCCTGGTTAAGGACCTTCATTAGTGAGTGACTTATTTAGGATATTGCAAACATGGGCATTAAATTAGTGTGAGTTGCTAATAGTTGGCAAATTTAATGTACAGTGTGTATGAGCTTGTCACTTCAGTTATTGCACTGAATCCATACATCACAATATCATTATTTCCATTCTTCCCAACATAACTTTGCCTTATATAACTCTTTAATTTTCAGCTTCTATAGAACCTAACACTTAGGTCGTGTCATCATGACACAATTTCGTATATTACATTTACATTGCTCTCGTTTTTAGTACACGTTTGTGCCCCACTGGCCCTCTTATTATGACTCAGGTACCTCGGAGTCGCTAAGTCCGTACTGTAGCTGCACATTCGCATACTACAGCTCTTGAAGGTATGTACAATGTGTTCACGGAAATTCTAACTAACGTAAGTAGCAAGTATCAAGGAAAATTGGTATAGGAGAAAGTTTTGTAGCATCCTACGATCAATTTAACGTATGTTAATTTGTTATATTTGTTATATTGTTGAAGAAACGAAGATGACCTTTAATTTTGCAAATGGAATGCTGTTTATTCTTTTATGCGATACAAAGACTTCTAAGATGTTGGACAAAATGTAACTTTGTTCGAAAATCTTAAAAAATACCCTTCGTTTCGATCAAGATAGTCTTGGTAACAAAAATATGTGAAAGAAGTCTCAATTTTCCATTCAAATTATGGAGCTACTCTTAAATAATCTCCATCAGACGTTATTCAACAGAACGATAAACGTTGTTCGAAAAATGAAAATAACTTCACATTTCAGATTTTGTGGACATATAAATTCTTATTAGCTAAACCAATACACTCCGCGAACTCTGTAGGGGTGGTTGGCAGCGATGAGACGGAAGCTTTCAAATTATTTTACGGTCCTATGAAACGTCCGTTTGGAATCTGCGCTGGGAACTCGCACGGGCCGTTTCCGAATGGAGCTTTTTCCTCGTCGCATTGTTTTACATCCGCAGCCTGTGAGACTCGACACGTGTTTCGCAATTTTTTGATACTCGTCCTCGTTTCGTGCGCGAGCTTACGATCAATAAAGTATCGCCGGATACGCTCACTGTTACTATGTATGTTTTTTAACGGTGGAAAAACGAAGTCTGATTTTTCAATCGTCACGACTGCGCGACGCGTTCGCATTTCGTCGATTCAGGAGGACGATTTTTCGAAACACGATCATCGAACGTTTCCCGTCGAATAGAGTTTTCGTTTTGATCTGGTAGGTGTGTTAGAGACGGGCAGAATTCAATTCGACTAATTGAATGAAAACGGGTAGCAATTTAATCGATACGTTCAATCGATCAAATTTTCATCTGTTCGTTGCGAGATGTTTCCTTTTATCATTGCGATTTAATTTCCCTTCAATACAAATTAAGTAGGTTATTGTTACTTATTTTTCCGAGAGATATCGATGAATGGCAATTTATTTACACAAAAGTTATTTTCATTTGGACCAATATATACTCGGTTATTATTACACTCGCCACTGTTTGCTTAAAATTGCTTCATTATTTAGAGATATTTATTCATTTACTCGGCACGTTTATTCAATGGAAAAGCTAAATTTTTGTTTGTTCATCGTGAAGAGTTTCACTATGTCATACAAATTCAAATTTTTATCCAACGAGAATTAATTCAAAAATCATTTTTTTTTTTAAGCTAACGTTCTGGCAATATGTAGTCTGCAAGTGTTAATTGAATCTCTAGTGAAAAAGTGTGTAAAATGTGTAAACATAAAACATTTTTAATGTATAAATGTACGTTGAACGTATTACATTCCCCAAGTACCAGATATTTATTTTCAAACTTGCCTCGTACCACGACGCGATATTCAAATAAATCTTCATACACATAAGAAATTTCGTTCCCCATGTCGTATGTATAAAACACAGGTACATAATACACAAAAAAAAACTAAATAAATTATTCATGGATCAACGTACAGACTCTATCGCCTACATCGTAATCTTTACAGGTTTTGGAGTGCTTAATATTTCATCTACACTATCAATATATTATTAATTCATTTAGCACCTTTTCGAAGTTCCACACACCCATTCCCCACTGTATCCATCTATGTGCTATTCCATCTATCTACTATCCTTCCCCAACCGCTCTGCATTTTCCGTGACAGGAATCAACGAAAGCACGAATATATATAAACTCAGCTTCACGGAATTCCGAAGGTCTACGCAATACCTATCCATGCAAATATTTCAATGCGGCCGTATTTGTACACGGAAATCTTACCTGTATGACTCTCGATTTGTTGAGGATCTTATTCCCAGAAGGCTGGTATCGTTCCATGTCCCTCAGTATGTCCCGCACCCCGACGCCCTCGGCGTCCACCAGACGGAAGGCAGTGATATTGACGAAATTGTACTTGAAGTCCTCGAGGTCGAAGGTCTCGATATCCTGGAAAGGGACAGAAGAATCGCGTTTTAGGGGTTGCAACGCCTCGGGCTGTCCTTCATGTCACTGCGAAGGGTACTTACGAATGTCGTGAAGAGATAGTGGTACTTGTAGTCGTTCATTTGCAGCTGCAGGATCTGAAAGTAAACGCGGAGATTTATTTCTTATCAAATGGACGTCAATTCTTTTTCAATATTTAAGCCCCGTGGCCTATCGTTTAGATTTCACGGGGCTCAACTTTTTCGAGGATAAAAGCTAGAGGAGTGGGGATATAATATTCTATATTGGAGTGTTTACTAGAGGACTACTTTCTTTCATACATGGTGATCTTAAGCCTTTGCAGTCGGGTGTTTCCTATGAGGGAACATCGTGAGTCTAGCAAATTTTATTAGTGGTTATGTAAATAGAATAAATTTACGCTAATGCGAATTTTTAAAAAATGCATGATTCCTTGGCGTATATACGGAGATTTTGAAAAAAATATATGAGCAGGCCCGGAAAGAATATGAAGTAAAGGGTATCCTAACAGAGGCTTAAAGATTTTGTTTTTAATAATAAAATATGCCTGTCAATATTAAAAAACAAAATTGTTTTTTTGAAAGATCCTTTATGTTTGCAGTGGTTTCAAGGCTTCAAGAAAGCTATACAAATCTATAATCAAGTCTAGTAATACCATGAAAGACACGTTCACAAAGTTAGACTATTTAATGTAATGCCATTCCTGCTCGCATATATTGCAACGAAATGGCGCGGAGTACAAAGTGTTAATTAACGTAAATGGTCTTTCTTTGTTTCTGTTTCGTACTTTGAAATTTGTATACGTAATCTGATAAAACGATACAATGGATGCATCCTACTATATAGAATTTATGTAGAATTATTTAGGGCCAAATGAATTTGTTTTATTTTAAGGAATTAGGTAATCATTACTTTGCTTTCAGGTAGAACTATCTAAATGTAAAAAGTGTAGGTTCTATTTCTATAAAACATTTTCTTTTAACACTATGGTATCGTTAACTTCGAGATGAATTTAACCACCTATTATAATATGTAGTTACAATTGAACACTATCCCAACTTATCAAACCTCCTGAACACCTGCACTAGACTGGCCCAGTTACTTTTAATATAATTCTAGTCTCGTTTAGCTACACAGTGAAATTAACCCGTCTCACAGGATCGTGGAATTTGCGATCGGAAAAATTCCGAGGAAAATTTCGTGACTGCGCACGAGCCAGATAGCGATTGCAACCGGCAAGGTCAATTCTCAAAATTTGAATTTTCGCCTATATTAAAACATACACCGAAGGCGCGACTAAATTGCGCCACATCATATTGCAGTGGAAACTTAATTATACAAACAATATCGAATGGTAACAGGAAAAAAGAATATTCCACACGCATAATATCGTTTTGAAGTTATTGGAACACAAACCATAGGTGTACACCAGAAGTTTGTGACTTATTTGTAACATACGTTGTCATTGTTTGACTAAAAATGTTATTTAGTTAAATGATTTGAATTATATGACTATTATTTTTTTTTCCGGTATAGATGCTGAGACTGTCTTAAGGTTTCGGTGATTTTTTTGGCATATTATGAATGTTGACGTTGGGGTGAGTTCATTGACTTGTAATAGATCATTTACGGTACAGTACCTCAAAATGCAGTTTGAAATCGGTAGATTGATTACAACCCAGAACACAAGTCAGTGGAACAAGAATAGAAAAGAAGAAGCAAAGGAAAGAAGATGCTCCATTCTCGTTCAGCTAACTGAGTGAACAGTGTTTAACTTCAAGTAATTAATTTCAAAGTTGATTTTCAGGTGTTGAATTACGTAAGAATTTCAAACTATTAAATTAAATCTGTTGTAATGAAGATATATCGTTGCTATCATTTTTATTTCAAACTCTCCTCGACGAACACGAGAACTACTAAACTCGACGCATTGATATTATACTTGTTGTTGAAGCATTCTAAATAATTCAATAACTTTATCTTAGAATTTAAAGGGGAAATTAGGACATTATTTCCGTAATCATCAGGGAGTAACCTTCGATTACAGGTCAATGATCTCATCTTAATGTCAGTATTCGTATTAAAAAGAATCTCATGGTTCCATTAAAAAAAGAACCTAATAATAATAGATATATTAGATTGGTCTCTTCGAACATTCTAACTTCTTCCTGAAATATTTCTCTTTCATAGTTTGAGAATTGCCGTTTTGTAACAGATTAGCTGTTACAGCCTGTATATTTCGCTCGCCGCTCAAACTTTTCATTTGAACGGGAATATTACCGTTCTCCGTCCACGCGTTAGATCCTGTATTTACCCTGGCGAGGGTTTGGGATTACCGAAGCGTCGCGCAAGCAGGAAATCGATAGAGGGATACACAGTTACCATTCGCAGAAAATGATGCATGTGCTCCGGCTTGGTATCCACGATGAGATTCCGTATTTCCTTGCTTTTCATCTCGGAGAGCACCAGTCGGTAGGAATCCGGGTCGGCCTGCCTGAGGTTAACCTCGATCTCCCGAGACTTCGGCGACCTGACGAGCTCTCGTAGCTTCACCAGTCCTGAAACCCGCGTCGTGGTACCGTTAACCTCCCCCGCTTCGATTAAAACGGAACCAATCATCGCGAAAGCCTCCTTTCGTTGTTCGTGTCCTCGCGTTAGGTCGTTCAATGGTAGTCGGACCTTGTTTATTTATCTTTTTTTTTCACGCGTCGACGATTACGCCAATTTCACGAGCATCGATGCATCGCTCGCTTCCGCCGGAAATCGGTCCACGAGCAGCGAGAAAAGCGTCGCCAACCGCTTGAAATTACATCGTCGCAAACAGCGCGGAAAACTATTGGTTTCGATTCGTCGGAACCACGCTTCATAGTCTATCGAGTCGGAAAAATTAACTTGGCGATCGTCGAGGATCGAATCGATCGATTATAATTTCTCTTTATTCATGGTCGACTTGGAGTTCGACGAGTGCCGGGGGAAATTATTAGGAGCATATGAGGATCGAAGGATATTTTTCTGGGTGTTTAGGAAGGTTTTGACTTCTGTTTTGGAGTCTTCGGTCTGAAGATCGCGATGTAAGCAATGTGGGTGTTGATTAAATTTTGAATACGTTATTGTTTATGTCTAAATGTGTTCCACGATGGTTATACGGTATTATGATAAGTAGACTGCGGATTTTATGCAAAATGAAATAATAGTATTATTATATTAATTGTCAAATATATTCAACATATATGCTGCATATTTTTTATGTGTAGAATATACTCAATATATATGATGTATATTTTTTGTGTGTTTTCCAAATCACTGTACGTCATAAATGCATAAAATATGCAGTCTAATAACGAAACTTGTTATAGTCGAAAGTACAGTCTATCACACGCAACGTAAGAATTTCAAACTATTAAATTGAATCTGTTGTAATGAAGATATATCGTTACTACCATATTTGTTACAAACTCTTCTCGATGAATAATAGAACCACCGATGTCGACAATACCTACTAGTTTACTCTGGAATTTAGAAGAGGTACTTCGTTTCAATAATTATCGCCCTAAACTTGCTGTTACAGCATTCTAAATAACTCGGTAACCTCGAAAACTACTACATCTTAGAATTAGACCTTAGTACCTTATTTCAGTAAACATCATTCAAGATTGAAGCAAAAGCATTGTTAAATTACAAGCGAGCAATTTTACAAACAAGGCCGATACGCGTGGCTCAAATTTACCAATAGGTTAGTTCTACTATTAAGCAAACAGTAGAGAGTAATTTCGAACATTAGTAACGACTGGTGATAACTCCTCGATTCAAGGGTATTTGCGTAGTCGATTTGGATGACTCCAATAATAGCCGCGGGAGAGACGAAATGGTTTCTTCGCGGATCTTCTTAGATATTGTTAGACCGGCCGTTTAATGGGACGGAAACCCGTGAATCGCGTCGCCCGATGAAATCAATACTTTCCACCGCCTAAGTAATCAAGACTTGCGGGTCTTCCGAGGTTCGAGTTCGTTCGTTTTCAAGTTTCCATAGGAACTTGGCTGTCCCGGGATTCTCCGCAGAGACTGGTGTGTTTCTCGGGATCCTTTCGGAGCTTAAGTCAATCTAATCTTTCCGCGTAAATCTCCATGAGCCCCGATAAATTTACACGGAAGCTCAAAAACACCTGGAACAGGATCGTTCGCCTGATGAAAATTACGCAACCGTTGACTTTGCGAGGGCGTTATCCCTATTTATCAAAGCGTACATTCTTGCGTTGTCGTTCGGAGTAATTTAGAGCATTAAAAATAACCCTTTAGCCTACAGCGAAGAGTGAGACTCGTGGTAGGTAATTTGGGCCCTAAATAATAAGCACGAGTCTGATTCGTGGTACTTCGTTCAGTCTTCTACCATTCCTATTTACTATGGCCCGAGCAATCGGAGATAGCGTGTGAGTCAAGGGGTTAAATTTGATTAGGGGTTATTATCTCATTTCTTGAAATTATAAACTCTTGCTATGAATATTAATTAACATCAGAGTAATAATTGCTTGCATAAAGTGGAACTTTATTTAGGAATTTTATAAAAGTAATCATTCTCCTGCCAAATAGCTGACCTCGAACGCGCATCTATCATCATATTATATAACAGTACTATATGTAGGATCCCAAAATTGTTTCCAAAAGAGATAGCGGAAATTTTGAGTCGAAAGTGCGAATGGACAGAAAATAAATGTGAATATTTATATATACCGAATTATATACCGAATTTTCCTTCCGGAAAAAAGAAAACGGTCGGTAAGAACCTAACAAGCGAATAATAAAAACGTATCACCGTATTCCGTTGCATCATATTATTTTTACCTTGTTATTAAACTTTATTTTATTCTCAAGCATCTGTGTTCATTATATCACAGCAACATCACGCAACTCCACTTTAGGTCCACATTAACTCCACATATATAAAAATGCATAATTCATTCAAAGTACTTAAATTTTATAACAAAACAGGTGTCCCCTGACAATCGAGTTTCGCTGTACAAACTCATCCAATAATTGAAATTACAAATTGTAGGATGAAATTAATTTCCACCGGGATATAAGTACATGTAATTATGCGTATTCAATTGAATAATAAATGGCGTTACGAGCTCACGATTATATTAATACTTCCACACAAATTTGTTTGTCAACAGACGCGGGAAAATGACCAATTATAAGCGAATGGAAACAAATTATCGGGACGAGTAAATGGATTCCGAGCGTTGGCGAAGTGTCTGACATTTTGATAGCCGCGAGAGTCTGTTTTCCTGTCGCAGACTCGTTAATTAACGTAGACAAATCCGAGGACGGATCGACTAATTCCCAAACAAGTCACGGAATTTAATTGTCGCCAGTGCCCAAGCCAATCCGATGCCACATTCGTTGGAATTTGTAAACATTCCAGTTTAAGCTCTTGGAAAAAGGGGATCCAGCTTGTCAATTATCGAGGAAGATTCATGCCTAACTTGCTGGAGTAACTATTTCATAGAGATGTTCATTGCAACGGACATTCTTCTTTATCACGTTAGATTTTTTTGTTTCAAAATTGTTATGTACTTTCATTAAATTAATTCTTCGCTAAATGATTTCTTTCAAATTAAGAGTTTCTGAGAATAATCCATCCTCAAATTATCCTTAATGCGTTGATTATTCCTACGTTCACCAAAGTTTGCCGCTCCAAATTCGATGTATCTCATTCCTCCAACATCTGTTTGCCAAGTGCTCCAAAACTTTCTGGTAAATGACTCGAGCGAATCGAGAACAGTGGGAAAATAACAAGAGCATAAATCGTCAGGTTTTTCGTCCTTCGCAGGGCATCGTTAAATAAATGTTTGTTTTTTCCCACGAAAAGGGCTGATGGAAAACCACTCGCAAAATTAAATAAATTTCTTTATTGTTCAATTTAAAGAAAAAATGACAATTGGTAAGACTCATGTATCCCTCGAATAAAATACTAATTAAAAGATCCAATGCAATGAATGAACTATTTCAATTTTTCGTATAAGTAAATACTACGCATTGTTCACTATCCGAAATGCTATTTCACCTTCCAGTGAAAAACGTCAGGGGTGAAATTAATTTCCACCGGGAAATAAGTACACGTAATTATGCGTATTCAATTGAATAATAAATGGCGTTCCGAGCTCACGATTATATTAATACTACCATACAAATTTGTTTGTCAACAGACGCGGGAAAATTACCAAGTATAAGCGAATGGAAACAAATTATCGGGACGAGTAAATGGATTCCGAGCGTTGGCGAAGTGTCTGACATTTTGATAGCCGCGAGAGTCTGTGAGGGATAATTCCACCAGGGAGTTTTCACGTGTTCGAGGAACGCGGAGCACCTCGAAACAAATTATTATATCGGCATTTACGTACTCTAATGACAACCACTTACGATCGTGCCTCGAATTCCGATAACCGCCGAGGGATGAAATATGGCGTTACCGTGGCGGAAGGAAGGAAGGAAGGAAGGAAGTCGTTCCTTCCCCTCCCACCTTCTTTTTCCCTCCTTCGTTGGGGATGCCCGGTATCCAAGGAAATTGAATTGCTCGCGTCTTTCGGCGTACATATTTTATCGAAACAAGTGGGATCGATAACGATGATAAATCGCCCCCGCGACAATGGGCCGCCTAACCCTTTGGTATTACCCTCCACGTCAACGTTATTAGGCAATAGACGAAGATTGATGTTCATCCCGCGTTTCTATGACTCCTCGTGTATCCCGTTCGACGTTAATGTCTTTTTAAACGACATTGATCAAGCCCCTTTCAATATTCTTTGGCGCAACCTTAAGAGGTGACGGCGATGGAATAAGACGCGCTTTATGAAATCCTTTGTGGCAATAAATAGTAGTCGAATACACGAAGGAATTTTGTATTAGTTCGTCCCCTCTATCTAAATTATTTGTATGTAAAATTATATTTTTTCCTTGTATCGATAAAATTTTTTGAATACACAAATTTATAAATTGAAGGGGGACCATCACTGTGACCACCTTAAAAAAAATGCAATGCATCAAATGTTTTGAAACTTTAAGGGCGTATTTATAATCAAATGAAAAAGGAGAAAATCTCCATTACTAGAAAGTATTGTCCGTACCATGAAGCAAGATGTTGAACAAAAATTGAAATCCAAGGAAATGGTTGAATTTTGAAACGAAAGTAAAAATATTCGTGCCAAATTGATATTTCTCATGTAATAAAAAAAACTGAGGTTCATGATATGGCAAAACATGTACTGAACACACTCGAAAAAGATTCAAGTCGATCAAATGATTTGTATTAAAGTTAGAGCTGGAGTAAATGTGAAAAATGTTGTTTCCAACCTTGGCATGTTAGTATGCTATTCTAGACTATAAATGCCTATAAATGATCAAAAAATGTCAAAAATTCGATCTCGCAAAACTGTTTACACTGGTGGCCCCGCTTAATGAATTTTACATTTTCTTGGATAAATTATTGTAGACAAAATTTTCATTTAAATATGTGCGCTTCTTTTTTCATTAATTTAGTATAGGATCCATTATTAATAAT